CGACTGACTTTTTTGGTTTACTTTAGTTGGGCCTGGGCAACACGAAACATCACTCATCAAACAGAACTGACTAAGGGCACGTTTGACAGATGTGGCTAGCGGCTGCTTGTTTAAATGAGGGGAATTCCATGAGCACTGAACGTTACCAATTCGCGTGAAACCACCAGTTCTTCGCTTCAGGTCTTCACACATTTTAAAAGTAAACATTGTCTCAAACCCGGAGATAACTTCTGAAGATTAAGTCCGAAGGGATTCCAGGCGGGACAGAAAATACTACTTGTGATAGTACATTGGTTTTGCTTTCCCTCCGGAACCCCCCGGCGAAGCCACAACATCCCTCTGCTCACAGGACTGACCATCCCAGCACAACAGTCTAAATCACGACGTCTGTCACAGGGCTTCCCAGAAGATGGAGTATCTCGGTGCAACGACGGCACGGCACGGCCGTGCACAGTTTGATAGCACACATGCACCTGTTCACTTCTTGCTCTGACAGCTCCCTCTTTCCCACTCGTTTCCATACCTGCAACCACAATCAGAGTATTCATCTGGCCCCAGCCACCCCCGGGATGCACTCATTCTAATCTGCTGAACCTTACATTGGATCTAAACATCTCGATGTCTTTTACTTTGTACTCTTCACCATGTCATTCATTCTCCGCGCAGTTCACGTTCCTTCTTGTTCCTTTGCGTGAACTCTTTCTCCCAAGGAACGTTTACAGCCGACCCCGCCCCAGAAGCAACACCAGTGCGTCCCTCCGGCTTCACTGCACACTGTGATCCTGAGTTTTCTACTATCATTTTTCGGTACTGCAAATCCCTCCACTTCACCATCCTCACTTACGCTTTTTGTGACTCTGGCCATACGACCAACAGCTCAGTGCCACGAAGCCTATATGCCGGTATTTGGCTTTGGTCTACATTGGTCGGTCATATTGTGGCAATTCCGCTGTTCCATTATCCGGGTTCCACATTTCCTGAAGTTTGAATTTTTCATCATACAGGAAGTCTCTTGCTATGCCCTCCACCGCATTGCTTTTTTCTGCCACTTCCGAATCTCGGCGATCGCATCTTCTCTCGTCTGATATGATCCCCATAAGAAACGGTCCTTGTAATTTTGTTTCCCTACCCATGCCGCCTCAGGCGCAACCAAGTCCACTTCGGATAATGCCCATTGTTCATGCCACTGTTCTTTTTCGATGAAATTCCCAGCCATTCTCTTATTATGACTGTATTATTATGATCATGCTGGACGGTATGTCAAAACAAGTTATTAATAAACATTACTATCATTATATTACACAATTTTCACCGCCGATTTCACCCAGGTGGGTACTCAGAAAACGTTTGGATCCAGCCTACTCGTCCGAAACAACGAATTGAACGGGCTGGCTTACGGAAATTCTGCGCACCATCTTAGTCCGGGAAGCGTGCCTTGCGTCAAATATATCAACATTAATAATAATAATAATGTTTATTCCCAACCTGTGGGTGGCATACCGCCCGGCATGATCATTGTTTCAGTCAGAATGAAGCATGACTGGGGTGTTTGTGGGGTGCGGATTGCACAAAATAAGGACAACGTTATAAACGGTGTGAAATGTACGATGAAGCGGTAATAACAGGTTTCTTTCCCAACTTATTGGGAACAATGGTCACAAGGTGCGACTAGTTCAAAGACAATCAGCTGACATGAACTAAGGCTGAAAAGCATTGCTTGCCATGAGTGACCTTGGGCGGTTACGTAAATGGCCGGAGTCACAACGAGCAAAAGTGGAGATGCAGGTGGGATAATTCAAATTGGGAGCACATGGCGAGTTTTTGTCTCAAAAATTTGGTTTAATCTAAAACTAAACAGACTCACTGGTTGCACTGTTGTAGGGAAGTCAGGAGCAGTGGATAGGTTGAATGGGTGCAAGGTGCTAATAAAAAGGGCGACTAGAACACCGTATACGGATTTAGACTTGTGGAGAAGGTAAGCCGAAATTGCAGCAGAAAAACCAGGCCAGCAATATCCAAGCAAAAATTCATCGGGCACGGAAGAGCTCACCCCAGAGACGAGGCCAGGTGAAAAATTTGCTCGAAGTTGTGGCTACAGGCTCGAGCGGGCGAGGGGTTGCGGCCGGGATTCTGGAGAAAATAGGTGCGGGAGCGCCATCTCACTGGGTATGACAGTGCCATACCATCATCGCGCTGATATGCTTCGGTCTATGGACAGCCCCGTAACGGTCGTCAAGGGTGCCGCGATCGGAGAAGGGCTACGTAGTTCTGTGGCAGCTGGCTCTGAGTGAGACGGAAATTGACGCAGAGAGTCATGCAGATGTATGCTCACGGATAATTTCCCTTGCGTTGAAGGATCGTGTGAGTGTAGACCGGACACCAGTCAGTTTGAATGAATAACAGTTCTAAGGGGTGTTTGGGCAACCTCAATCGAGGTTTGCAGCTTGTGAAGAGGGGCGACGGGAAAGAAATATAATGAAAGCAGTGGCGGGCGTTAGAAGTCGTAAGACACAACGGCGTCAATAGAAAAAAAGCTAAAAGGGGATATCAGCAGGCTGAATGGACCCAAGAAAGGTGAACTGTGAGTTAATCACCTGTACCATCACCTCAAGCTCCGAGTCAATAGCACCTATGGGGAAGGATTCGTAAGCCCAAGTACTGAACTTGGATCATACGTATCTGGGCCCATGAATGAAGAGGATAGCTACATCTACAATGTGCAGAATGCATGCATCACCACCCTTGGGGATTCGCAGGCCCTATTCCAATGGTAGTTAGACTTCCACAACAAACTCACTTCCTAAGCCCAAGACTACAGCTTCCTCCACCCTACCGGGTATAATACCTAATTTCTTCACGGATTTGTTAAGACTACTGCTCTTTTAACTTTCGATCATCATCATCACCACTTACAGGAGAAAATCCAACTTTAGCGCCAATGCTTCGCTGCCGTACAACCGTGATTTGGAAGCCTTATCATAATGTAAAGGATAAAAGTAAACCTGGTAGCCTACCAAAACCATTCCAAGATGACAACACCTCCAGACAGTCATTCAGGCGATCTGGATAGGAAGTGATAACAAGAACACCACCGATCCAAGCAGCCATATTTTGCAATGCCCCCAACCACGCACAGCAAGGATCACGCGATTCCCATTCCGCAGGGCGAACCGCATCGGTAGCACCCACACTTTTGGAAATCTCTTTCACAATCCCCTACAAGGTGGATGGTTCGCCAACTCCTTGCTTCCACTACTCTTAACTGAGTATGAAAAGCAGCACCCAATTCGGCAAATAATGACTCGGCAAGGGCAATACATGGCCTAACCAATGCAGCTCCTGATGCTGGACACATTCTTTGACGTTAGTCTCGACTGCACAAGGGACCACTCGCTCTCTAGTTGGCCCGTTACGCATTTGCTGACACCAATCCACATGAGCGATGGTCGTGAAACAACGATCGTTTGAGACCGGGAGATGTTTTGTTTCCGGTGCTCAAATAGGCTGTCTCACATCATTACACAAAACAGCTCGTACCGTAGCCTTCATTGAGATTCGACCTCTTCCTTCACTCTCCAGTTTCTCGGAATTCCTAGGCAAAATTTTAGAAAAAATGAGGCAGCGACCCAACGTTGAGTTGGGTACCAAGACCCTGTCAGAAGTAAGAAGTTGAGTATGCATTCTCTGGTTCATACGTGGTGAAAAGACACTACAGAATATGCTGAGTTATCCAAACTTTCACGTTCAGAAACGATGAGCACTTGGCTTCCGACCCATATATATATATATATATATATATATATATATATATTCAATTACCTGCCAGACCTATTAGTCGACCTGCATCTGAAGTGTGGCCATCTGTTTGCACCTCTTGCTCACCCTCCGTGTATCCATTTCTTCATAACCGACCGTCAAAAACATTCACACGACAGACGTACTTCGCCTGCTCCATCGAACATCCGCCACAGGGTATGATCGTACCGCAAGCCATGAATGATTCGACAGGCGTGATGTACTTAGTAGACCATAAACATTCTAACCGCGATTGTCCAACGCATTGCTAAGGAAGCGAATATTTGAGGCGCTGAGACTAGTGTCTCTAAGAGGACGTGAATGGTTTTTCATAGGAAACAAACGCCCTGACATGTTTAGGATAGTATTACCAAAAGCCTTACCTTCAAAGCGTAAGTGGTGCCAGTGCGAAGCTGGACACATTTGAGGACTTTCCCACTGACACCCGTACCCAGAACGGAGCCAGTAATCTTGTAGTCATTTGTAACTTTCGTCCTCTTCGGACGAAACATGGAACGTCCGGAAACAATCGGAGGTTAATTCACAAACGACCCCAGTCATTCAGCAGCCGAACGCCGCGGGAACAGCAGACGTCCTTGATACAGTAAATGTTTCAATTGGAGCGCTGCTTTTCTCTGCAACTGCAGGTTACGACTCACAGATAGGTGCGCAGGACGGAGGTTTTCGCCCAAGCTTCTTGGAATGAATTTGTTCTTGTCGTTCAGTAAGCAGTAAGCTCATCAGCGCAAGGAGTCGCATAGAAAGTACCTAATGGTGCTTTGAACTGGATCCTAAATGGAGCGTGGACAACCGTCAGAGGAGGGTTATTCAACGCAGCAACTGCCCAAAATGAGACCAATTTGCCCAACAAAAGTGTTTCCTGAGCTTCAAAATCTGCTTGCCTTGCCTCCACCCTGTGTCTACTCGATCAATAGTGAAATCCTGTTGTCCAAACCCCGGTCACACAGTGCATGAGTAAATACTAGTTCTCTTTGAAGGAAGCAATAATTCAGGCGAAATAGTTCAAGCACAACGAGACGCGTTTCGAAGACCACGGGTTGAGGATGGTCCATTTACTTAGCAGCTCGCTGGACACTTTCAATGAAGGACACTTCCTTGGTGGCATATTCAAGAAGAAACGGTCAGACGTAAGCCAATGTGGCTTGTGTGATCAATACGGGGCGTAGGCACCGTGGAACAGCAAATGCTTTTTGAGCTGTTTTCTCATGATTCAGTGAGAAAAGGGTATTGACAAATGGACGCGCTTTCCGCCATTCAGAGTAAGGTGCCGGCCCAACGACTACTGCCTTGCAACGACTACATCCATTTGGACAGCGCTGGCATTGGTATTAAAGGATTTCAAGCCGCTCGCAAAAATTCAACACGGTCGTGCAAGAACATCTAAAATGTCGTTGGTGTATATCAGAAATAGAAGTGTGTGGAACCCCAATTGGGACCGGCGCCGGAAAAGAGTAGGTCGAGCCTACTTTCACCCTGAGTGTTCTGGCTGAAAAGAGCGCCCCACTCCAGCGCAAAATTTCTCTTTGAATCCGGTAAGACTCGATTTTGTGGAGCAGCTTACGTGGGGGACCCGATCAAATGCTTTCGAGGGGCCGAAAAATAATGTATCAGATTTGAGTCCCTAATCTTTAGCCTAAGCCGCTTGGGTTAAGCTATCCATAAATACCAACATATTCGTTACGCAAGAATGGTTAGGGAGAAATCCGTGTTGAGCTGGGGATATCAAGTTGTTGGAAGTAAGGTGATCCAGGATAGCTTGCCTCAGAATGCGTTTCATCACCTTGCACGGCACGCTATTGAGCCTTACAGCACAATAGTTTCCGGGCGATAGCGTGATTAGCGTGACAATTGCTCACTTGCAAGCAGGAGGATTGTGTCTTGGCGAAACACTAGCTAGAAATGCGTTGCCACCTTGAGCGACGTTTTCCTCAGGATACTTACTGGACGTGGTCTGGCTCTAAGAGGCGGAACGGGTTGATCCAGCGCAAGGAATTGACGAATGTCCTCCACCGTGAAGAATAAGTAGGCTAGGGGTCGTCCATATTTATGCCTTGGCGAGTTGCAATTGGCGAGGACCCTGAAGCTGAATATAAACCTCATGATGTTCTCTGTAAAATTCAGATACTGCCTTTAGATCGCTCGTAGCTCCCCAGGTCCTGTCCCTCAACGCAATGCGTTTGGCTTGACTCTGCGGTGATGCCCCATGTATTTAGATAGCACAATTCTTTTTCCGGGCGAGGATTAGAATGGTGGCTTGTTTTTTATGTTCCACTGAGGGGGGGTTGATTTACAGCGACGCGGCATTGCACAAAACGTCAGCTCATCTTCTGTGTTTCCTGTAGTCAGCTGTTGGTAAAAAGCTGGCGTCTTTTTCCAGAAGGCGCGGAATACTTTTAGGTAGCTTGCGACCCATCGGACTGCATGCTGGTTTTTTTAGGACGAACATCGTATCAGTCCGGTAAACTATCTGGACAATGGCTCTATGTAATTCTATCACTGAAGCTGGTATCGCTTTGACTTGTTCAAGAACGATGCACACCCCTGAGAGGTCTTCACGAAAGACGTTTCGAATATACGTTTGGGGATCGAGATTTCTGATCAAGTAGCAGATGAAATCGCACATTGATCACTACTTCTCAGTGAAGTGTTAATTAACACCTGATCAGCAAAGAATCTGTCGTTGGTGATGACCACATCCAGGATGGATTGTAGTTCGCCTGTGCGGTATCTGTTTGGTGCGACGATACGTTAAGTGGAAGCGCTGCCCTGAACGACTTTGGCCAGGGCCACTGCAAAAATCCCGCTTGATTCGAGGTATTGAGGCTCCACCAAGGAACACTTTGGGGCGTTGCAATAGTGATAAGAATAATGTTTATTCCCAACTTGTGGGTGGCATACCGTCTGGCATGATCATATGGTTACAGTCAGAAGGAAGCATGACTGAGGGTTTGTGGCGGTGTGGATTGCACAAAAAGAGGACAACGTCATAAACAGTGGGGAATATCCAATGAAATAGTAATAATGGGTTTCTTTACCAACGTGTTGGGAACGATGGGCATGAGGTCCGACTAGTCCGAAGACGTAGCCCAGTTGGCATGAAATAAAGCTGGAAACCATTGCTGGCCCTGAGTGACCTTGTGTGGTTAGGTAAATGGCCAGAGTCACAACGCGCAGAAGTGGAGATGGAGATGGGATAATTCGAATTGGGAGCACATGGCGGGTTTGGTCTCAAAAATGTAGTTCAATCTGAAACTAAGCCGACTGAAAGGTTGCGCTGCTGTAGGGAAGTCAGGTGCAGGGGATAGGTTGGATGGGGCAAGGTGCTAATACACAGGATGGCCCGAACACCGTATACGGATTTGGGTTTGTGGATAAGGCAAGCCGAAATCGCAGCTCATCCCAGAGACGGGACCGGGTGAAAAATTTGCTCACAGTTGTGACTACAGGCTTGAGTGGGCGAGGGGTTGTGGTCGAGATTCTGGAGAAAATAGCTGCGGGATCGTCATCTCACTGGGTATGACAGTGCCATGTCATCATTGCACTGACATGCTTCGGTTTATGGACAGCCCCGTAACGGTCGTCAAGAGCGCCGCGGTCGGAGAAGGGGTGCGCAGTTCCGTGGCAGCTGGTTCTGGGTGAGACGAAGATGGACACAGAGAGTTATGCAGATGTCGTTGTAGGACCGTGTGAGGGTAGACCGGACACCAGTCAGTTTGAATGAATAACAGTTCTAAGGGGTGTTTGGGCAACCTCAATCGAGGTTTGCAGCTTGTGAAGAGGGGCGACGGGAAAGAAATATAATGAAAGCAGTGGCGGGCGTTAGAAGTCGTAAGACACAACGGCGTCAATAGAAAAAAAGCTAAAAGGGGATATCAGCAGGCTGAATGGACCCAAGAAAGGTGAACTCGTTTGCTGATCTAGAAGCCTTGTACTAGTTGCGCCAGAGTAGGTGTTTAGTTTTAGGAAGGTGAAAAAATTGTCGTCGAGATAGCTAGCAGGGAGGCTAGCTGTTGGACTAGTTGAGAACGGGCGGATGTTTTTGGCTTACCAAAGCATCGTGACATAGGGTCCTTGTTGTGTAGAAAGAGTGGTTAACGTAAACAGTGACAAAAGACGAGTAAAAAGCAACAGCTTCCTAGATGGTTGATAAGAATCATAGCTTGATTGAGGTCTCCTACGTCAACCTAACAATAAAGTAAGATTAAGGATCACCAGTCGCCGAGTCAATGGTGTCAACTCAAGAAAACGAATGATGCATGGCAAAAACAGCCATTAAATGCTAGCTGTGACTGCTTGTAATCATGAAATGATAGGTTATTAGCATTTTGTGCATACGATTGCTCTAGATGACAACAGGGAAGGTGTGTGCTTTGTTTGGATGATCAAGTGTACTAGGAATGGTATGACACCACGAAAACGAAATTCGCAACTCCTCGCACCTCGACGTTAGCCGTGAGCCTCACACGGTACTCTCAGGCCACCCCATGCATAAACATTCTTTAATTTTTTAAATTTTATTTTATTTAGAACAAACGGAAGGACAGCTGTCGTCCACTTGTATTTCTTGGTGTTGTGGGACAAGTGCCAACCGGAACAAGGCTCCACCAAGCTTCGAGCCCCGGCTGTAGTTGCCCAAACGCCCCGTACAACCATTATTCACTCAATCTGGCTGGTCCCCGGTCTTCACTCACATGCTCCTACAACTGAAGTTAAAGTATCCTTGACCCTGCATCGGCCTGACTCTATCTGGTCAATCTCCTTGCCTAACCCAGATTCAGCTGCTAGTGAATTGCGTATCCCCTCCTCAATTGTGGCAACCTTGACAACCGTTACCGGGCTGTCCATAAGCCGAAACGTGTCAGTGCAATGATGGTAGGGCACTGCCGTACTTACTGGGATGGCACTCCCGCGAACTCTCTCTTACTTGAGCCAGTAATTACAACTACCAGCAAATTTTTCACTTTACCTCAATTGCGTCTGAGGCAAGTTATTTCTATGAAACATTCGACCGGATTTGATCAACCTGGTTTTCTGCTGCAATTCCGGCTTGCCTCCTCCATAAGTTCAATTCCAATGTTGGAGATTTTAGTATCCCCAAAGACGGCTTATTTTTCGAGTTATTGTCAAGTTATTTTCCGAAAATTTTGAATTTTTAAATTTTGCGCCTTTTCCGCCGTGTTGAACCTTAATCCAAAAAGACGCGTCTTTTTCCTATTGGCCAGTCATACTTTGTGTGCACTAACCGATTCATCCCTCCCCAAGGTCGCCCGAAATATATATACGACGTTGCTCTCACCGTGATTCACCTTTGTCTGAGGCAGTAAAAGCCCTCTGCTGATGGTCTGGTCTTCTTCTCTCTGCGCTATGAGTGGTTGGGCTCGCGTCATAGCTGGGGATTTGTGCGCTCTTTCTCAGGTAGCATGTAGCCTTTGATCGTACCTGATTCCGATACATATCATGCTTCTCACACAAGTTCAATTCCATACAGTGTTCGTTTGGCCGTGTGCATTAGCACGACTTTCCCATCGAACCACATCTTTGCACCCGACTTCCCTACATCAGTGGCACTAGTGAGTCTACTTAGTCTCAGGTTAAACCATATTTGTTAGACAAAACTTGTCATTTGCTTTCACTTCAAATTATTTTCATCTCCATCTCCGTTTGTTCAACCGCCCAAGGTCACTCGTAGCCAAGAACGGTCCTCACTTTCAGTTCATATAAGCCGACGTCATTTTTGAACCAGTCGGACCTCGTGCCCATTGTCCTACTTTTTTATTTTTTCAGTTCCCGCAATTGCAATGACTTTTCATGTAAAAAGCATGCTTCGTTGGTTGTACCTTCCTCCACGCTGTGTTGTGGTCCGCCGTGCTCAGGCTGTAACCATCCGATCAGGCCTCAATCGGTATGTTCCTGACAAGTAGGGAAATAATGAGCCTATTATTAGTACTTCATCGGATATTGTCCACTATTTCTGACATCGTCTTCCATTTTGCGCAACTCCTAGTACCTGTCTAGTACCTAGTACTCCCCCCAGTCGTGCTTTATTCTGACTGGATGCATCATCATGCCTGACGGTACGCCATCCGCAAATTGGGAATAAACATTATTATTATTCCTAATGGAACAGTGCAGCTTTATGAATGATAGACACCCCGAGGAGGCGTTTGCTTGAGAGCTTATTTATAATTTTTTCACGATCCTTGTGTAAATTTTCGCCACCCCTTTGAGAAACATCTCCAAGTCGTGAACATAATGTCAAGGAGGCCAAAAAATGCATCGAGTGACGAGCGCTGGTATTCGCAACTGTTCGCGATGCAATTCTGACGCGCTCGTTTAATACAAGAGCAGCGTTTGTTAACCGCACTTTTTTGTTTATTTGATGCACTCGTACAAACGTACTGGGTAGCCACTCCGATTAGCACCTTCCACCCAATGTCAGTCGACGATAATTCTGAAATGAAAAGTCTACGGTCGGTCAGGCCTCCAGTAAAAGCGTTGAAACATCCTAAACTTATGAAGGCAACTACATAAATCTAACCAACTATTGAAAATGAGCGACCCAAGCAAAGTTGATGAGGCTGCGTACATGGCAGTCGCAGGGACGGCTTTACTTTATGGTTCAAAGTTGAGCCCCGGGATGCCATGAAGCGTCCTTAAAAGTGTAACTAAATGCGTCGCCGTAGCGACTTTTTATTTACTGGGTGGGTAAATGGTGTCAATTTATTTTTTTCTAAGCATAAGAATAAACTACGGGATACTTACATTCACTTATACATCCTTGCATGCTAATTTCGCATCAAGTTTCATTATTACTGAATTTTGGCGGGTAGAAACATCAGGAGCTGTAACGAAGACATTTAGCGCTTGGTGCAATCAAACTGGCCTCTAGCCATTAGCTCTTCTGGTGTGGCTAAACTTTACAGGATGTACTTCAGACCAGCGTAGCCTGTGCGGTCATGGCAGCCGGTTAGTCCGGTTGCCACGTCAAGGTAGCATCACAGTTAGGTATGGCCCCGAAAGACCTTCACTCACCCAAATCTAGCCAGTATTAATAAAGTATCTCCAACATTATACTGG